GACCGCCTCTCTGACTCTAGCCAATCTGAGTGTACACTGTGTACTAGTAAAAAGCCTGCTCAGATTGGCCAGAGTCAGAGAGGCGGTCTATTAAAAAAAAAGAACTGGTGTTGCCTCGGAAGTGGGGGGTAGTCTTATACAGCGAATATAGGCCTAAACCCATGTTTTAATTGTAAAATTAGGGGGCCATCTTATACGCCGGAAAATACGGTATCATGAGTTAGTGTGGTAACCCTGGAGGCACTTATACGCCGGAAAATACGGTATTCTAGTTGTACATGGAAATTAAGATCTTGCAAGTCAAGACTGTACAGTCCTTCTTGTATTTCTCCCTTATCAGTATTTCACCCTGCTTTCTCAAACCCTCTTGTGGAGTCGTGTGTTACAGAAAAGATCAGTAGGTGATCAGTGGCCACCTGTTCAGCTGTAACATGAGCCATTTCAAGGACAGAGGGAATCTTTGTGTGTGATTTTGGTCAAGTCTTATCATTTATTCGGAGAAGCACTTCCTTCCTAAAACCCCCATACTTTGGACCCTTGCCCTGCCTACTCTTTCTCAGCTGACCTAGAGGTTTTCAGGAACTCCCTCCCTTTCCAGCCACCCCCACCCACTAACTTTGCTGCATCCTGGGTGCTTTGGCCATTCTCCATCCAGCCGCACTGGAGGTGGCATTTCTTCCTGTAAACTAATCCCCGCATCCTACCCCTCCTACAGCCCTGGACTTTGCTAATCAATTATCTCCCCCTATTCTTCTCTCTTCAGCCTCTTGCATCACCTGGCTTCTTCCCATCGCCATTTAGGAGTGCTTAAATAATGCTCTCTTAATAGCTATCCCCTGTCCTCATGTCCCTGCTGGGCGAAACAATCATTCTCTCCTTTTATATTGATTTCTTCATCCCACATGTATCCCTCAGCTCATTGTCATCTAAGTTTCTCCTCATGCACTGCGCTAAACCTGTTCTGATAAATGCTGTTTGTTATGGTTTGAATGGAGTCCTCCCAAAAGACTTATTGAAATCCTAACCTTGGATATCTATGAATGTGGCCTTATTTAGAAGCAGAGCCTCTGAAGAAGTAATTAGTTGCGTCGGAGTCATGCTGGGTTAGGATGAGCCCTAGATGCAATATGATTGGTGTCATTATAAGAGAGGTCAAAAAGACACACACAGAGAAGGCCATGTGGCTACAGACTCAGAGACTGGAGTGATGAGTCTACATGTCAAGGAAGGTCAACTCATGCAACAACCCTCAGAAGCCACAGAGAGGAAAAGAAGGATTCTTCCCTGGAGCCTTCAGAGAGAACATGGACCTCCCAACACCTGATTTCAGACTTCTGGCCTGCAGAACTGTACAAGAAGAGATTTCTGTTCCTTTAAGCCATCCAGCTTATAGTGTTTTGGTACAGCAGCACTAAAGAACTAATATACCATTGCTTTTCTTGGAACACAAGATTTTCAATGATAACCTAGGAAAGTCCCTGGCAAACCAGGGTGAGTTTCTCACTCTACCCTCTGGCCCACATCTTCCTTAACTCTGCATCATTGAATGCTATGATGGCCACCTCCCTCTTGAAAAGTCCCCTGTTATTGCATTCCATGATGCCTTGTTCTCAACTAGATAATTCCTTCTGGGGGCAGGTAAAAAGCTTTTACAAAGGTCCTTTTGGTTTATATTCCTCAAGGTATTCAAATATGTTTATACAGACTGTGTTTTTTGTCTCTAGCTCCTCAATATTTAGCACAGACCCTCTCACATAATAGGTACCAATTAAATGTCTGTTGTACACTCACTCCTAAGTTAGAATGTGCAAATTAAAATAAGCTGAGTTGCCACTTATGAGCTATAAGATTGGCTCAAATCCGAAAGACTAATAGTATACTTTGCTGGAAAAGTTGATTGTAAACAGATACTCACATCCAGAGCAAAGAGAATGCAAAATGGCACAACCTTCATTAATGGAAATTGGGTAATATCTAGCAAACCACATGTGCATTTACCTTTTGACACAACAATCCCAATTCTAGGAATGTCTCCCAATGGTACTATTGCAAAAACATTAAAAGTTGACTGCAGGAGGTGCTACTCATTTTAATAGCCTATTAAATGGGCTATTTTAATCGCTTATTTTAATAGTCTATGATCACAAACGACAAAAAATAACCTAACTATGTTCATCACATAGTAAGAGCTACATGGCTATAAAAAGAAATGACATAAATCTATACGACTAGTGAGTGACCTCCACATCATTATGTCAAAAATGCTACAGAGAGAAAATTTTATATGTATGCAAGCTTTTATCTAAGAAAGGAGGGCAAGAATATATGTGTGTATACATATATGTTTATATTAAAAAAGAAGCTTGAACTTTAACCACTAAGTAAACAGCTAAAAGCAGAGACTAAACAGGTTGAGGAAAAGAAGAAAAGCTAGTTTCCTTGAACATCCTTGTTTGATGGATTTGACTTTAAAGCAACACACAATAACGAGATGTAAATTTTAAAAACATCTAAAAAACAAAAGCAAAATTCAAAAAAACTAGTTGCATTTTGAGTTGGCATAGGAAATTATTTCAAGTGATTTCAAGGCAGTAATTCTGCTTTAATCTCCCCATGAAATGTATATGCTAACAATGAAAAGAAGAGAATCATTGTACAGGCTTTTAGTAGTCAAAAAGGATTCCAGTTGCATGAAACTGTTATTCCAAAACAGCTGAATATTCAGGAAAAGGCAAAGGACTAATTATATTGGCTGCAGAAACTCTGGACTCTGTGCACGGGAGAGAAAGATGTAGACAGAAGACAGAAGAGGTTCAGGAATACAGTCTGGAGGGGACTTGAAACTAACTGTCTAGAAAGTATATATGGTGAATTTTTTTTTAAATGTTTTCCTCAGGTCAAAACACCTAACTGAGCACCTCCACGCAACGTCAGCCAAAAATGGCAGATTGTTGGGTCTATGGAAGAAAATGACTAAGTGGAGTCAGCGACATCTTGTTGTCCTGGGGAGTCAGCACGTTATCAGAAGCAACATGGTTTGTGTCAAAAGAACTCAGGAGCCAAATTCAAGAGGCTCCCAGGGCTGGAGATGTCGTTTTACCATCTATAAGAACAATAACTGTAACTGCTTCAAATAATATATCAAACATTACACCCATGTATTAATAATATTAATAACTCTAATAATCAGCCCTGGCTGGTGTGACTCCATTGGTTGTAGCATCGTCCCATGCACCAAAGGGTCTCAGGTTTGATTCCTGCTCAAGGCACATACTCAGGTTGTAAGTTTGATGCCTCAGTCATCACATGTATCAGAGGCAAATGACCCATGTTTCTCTCTCTCTCTCTCGTCAATTAAAAACATATCCTCTGATGAAAATTAAAATCACCACTATCATCAAAATAAGAAAAATAAACAGAAAGCAAACATTACACCTTATTTGTCCTCTTTGGATAATGCTAAAAAATAAAAATAAAAAATAAAAATAAATAAAATAAAAAAAAACCCTCACTAGTCTTAAAGAAACTGATTCAGCCATTCCTATATAAGGGGTACCCTTAGGATAATCAAATGAGATGGTGAAGAAAAGTTGTTTTGTATAGAAATATTCTTGTCATTAAATGAAGAAGAATGACAAGATGAGGAAATTTCAGGTTTGTACCCATGAATAAATCAGTAAATTTAGGCAATGATCATCAATGACTGCTAACTTCACACCCAGTCATCTGCCTCCAATGGAAGTACATAGCACATCCATGACAGAGTGGAGACAGAAAGATCTGTACTTGACTCTAAGCAGCCTTGATATCGGTACAAGTTTACAGGCACATTCTAATCAGAAGGACATTTGAACAACACCAATGGAATGCATTTGGCAAAACCCACACTGTAGGAAATTCTATACTACTAAGAACTTAGAGTTTTTTAAAATAAATAATATTCAAGGGGAGCAACAACAACAACAAACAGTAAACGATTAAAAGCCTCAAAAGATACACCACCAATTGCAATATGTAAACTTCATTAATCTTGATTTAATCCCACTGTTATAAAAATGCGTAAGCATCCATGAGACCCTCCAGGATCTCATAATGCTTACCAAATGTCTGGTGACATTACGGAATTATTTTTTATTGTTATTTTTGTCTGTGTGATATGATTATGGTATTTTAAATTCTCTTTTTTATAGTAAAACTGAAATAATAAAGATACAATTGTAAGATTTATTGTTTGCTTCAAAATAATTTGGTGGGTGTGGTGTGAACTACAAGTGAGGTTTTATTAAAAAAAAAAAAAAAAAAAGTGGGCCATGAATTAATAAATACAGGGTTTGGGTATCCCTTAAACTATTTTTTCTATTTTTGTCTATTTGAAATTGTTATATATTATTAAATACAATGACTGAATAAGTATGATTCACTTGATAATATAACTGAGTTCATTGAGGACAGAGAGAAAGACATTTCGATTTCTTCCTGCATGCTGAGTGTCCAGGGTGAAAAGAACCCTAAATAAATTCTAATTAATGAAAAAACACATGAGTGGATACACATACTAATTCATTAATCCCATTGATCCACAGAGGAACAGAGACAATTAAACCAATTCTGTCCGCCATACAAAGCCAGTTAGGAACACAAATCACATGTTTTGTGGCAATGCTAAAGTTTTGTGGGGAAATGCTGAGCTGAGATTTTTGTTTGTTTGTTTTCCTTGACTTTGGTGTTATGTCTGTGGGTCACATTTTTACCCCCTGGTTCAAAGGCCCAGGATGCTTCCAGCAACTGCTACATAACAGTGGCCTCAATACAGGGGCTTCCTTATCTGTGAAAATTCTTGAGTTAGTGATCTGTTTCTGGACATGAAATTCTGGTGATGAAGGATTTCATATGTTTGCTCCTATTTTTGAACAACTTCTAAAATAAGAGTAGTGGAGCAACTGCTACCCTGTCACTAAGTGTGGACAGTGCCGTGGCACTCAGAGCATGCCTGTCCTTACCTTTATAGGAAATGACTGGGTGCTCCGCTCTCTGGCACTGAGAAGCGTCTGTCATGGGCTGGGCCAGTCTCCACCAGCCCAGGCTGGAGAACAGCCACGCGATGACACAGGGGCCCTTCATGGTGGGCAGGAGGGCTTGGGCTCTGCGCTTGTCTTCTAACCAGAAGCTTGTCCTCCCGTCATGTGGGAAAAGTGCCTGAAACACAAAGGAGAACACCTGGATGGAACCGAGCTCAGTGTTTCTGGTGGTGGCCCTTTGGTCATGCCCTGTTACCACTACCTTAAAGAAAAGAAAAGAAAAGAAAAAAAGAGCTGAGAGCTTTGACAAGCAGACATTTTTCTGGCTTATATGTCAGATACATGTGAGTGTAAGTGTGTCTCAAGGAGGACCTTTTTCTCACAATCATTTGATGAGATAACCCATTTTTTATAAAAGGAGAAACGATCAAGTTTAAGGTCCATTGGAAACATCACGGTCACTTTCCTAAGGAATGCAGTTTAAGGGCTGGGATCATCAATTGGTTTTCTGTTGGAACATGCAAACACAGACCTATCTGTGGAAACCCTGAGAACCCTGCCCTTCCTTTTTAATATTCAAAAGACCCTATTGAATAAGACTATAACCATTGTCATTGACTTATAAGGCAGTTATTAATACGCTACCCAACTCTTAAAAATTGCCCATATTTAGTGAATTTATCCTTTGAAATGTATAGACTTTGTAGGTCATCCATCCTTTGCATGGATGATCTGCAAAGTTTCTGGCTAGGGACCAAATATAAATCCAATGAAATCTATACTGAGCACCCACTGGGTGAGATGAAATTACTATACTGGGAGTGCTGATACTTGAAAGCCTATGAATAATTTAAAAGATGAATAAGCTTTAAAATAAGATAGGCTTATAAAAATAACTATAATCCAAGTTGTTAAAAAGCCATAAAAAGAAGCAGGAATGCGGTGGGAGTTGAGAGTCCTTGTGCTATTTAGACAGATGAAGGGTGTATCCACAGAGGGACTCACGTTTGAGTTTCATTTTGGAGGATAAAGAGGATTTCAACAGATGGAGACTTCTGGAAGTGCATTCCATGCCAAAGGAAGAGGATAGAGTGAAAGGATGCCCTGAAGAGGCAAGAGGAAGGAGTAGGCAAAGTGTTTTGGGAATAGTTTGCTATACTTGTCCCAAACACCAGGGTATATAAAAGGAGATATAGTGGGAAGCAGCTTATAGAGTAGGTAGGGTTAAGGCTTGGGAGGCAAACTATACTAATGTCTAAGGTCTCTATATTTAGGCAACAAGCTACCATAGTATATTAATATTACATTAGATGAAACATTGATAAAATTATTCTTACAACAGTGTACTTGGGAAATTGGGTAGAAAGGAGAGGTTCATTTGAGGACACCGCAGTTGCTCAGAAGAGAAACAAGTGAAGCTGAGACTTCTAATGGTGTCAATGTGAATAAAAAGTTAGGCAAGCATTCAAAATGATGGGTTAGTGAAAGTATGGCAAATTAAAGAAGGCTATGGAGCCAAAACCAGTTTGGCTCAGTGGACAGAGCTTCGGCCTGTGGACTGAAAGGTCCCAGATTCGATTCCAGTTGGGAGCATGTACCTTAGTTGCAGGCTCATCTCCAATAGAGGGTGTGCAAGAGGCAGCTGATGGATGTTTCTCTCTCATTAACGTTTCTGATTCTCTATCCCTCTCTCTTCCTCTCTGTAAAAATCAATAAAATATATATTTTTTAAAAATAAAGAAGGCTATGGATTCTTTAAAATTCCACCAGTTAAGGTTGAGCTCTGACCCCTCTCTTGAAGCTGGGTTGTCAATGTGACCATGTGGCTCAACCAGATACAAGAGAAGTGATGGTGTGCTAGGTTCCAAGCCCAGCCCCTAATACTGCCAGTCTCCATTTCCTATCTCTTAGCACATGCTGTCTGGGCACTGAGACCCCAGGTAAGAAGTCCAGTTACCCTGAGCCTACCATGCTAGAGAGACCATAGAGAGCTCTGGGACATTTCCCAAGAGCCCAGCCTCCCAGCCCTCCCACCAGGGCACCTGACAGGTGAGTAAGTGTGGAAGCAAATGACGACTTCAATAAGGGTGAGAGCAAAGGAATCACCCAGATGAGCCCTGTACAAATACCCAACCTGCAAAGTGTGAAATGAAGTAAAATGATCATTGTTCTAATCTGCAAAATTTAGGGAAACAGAAAGTAGAGGCATGGATGGACTCAAGGCAGAGAATATAAGAGACTGGGAAGCTGGTAGTGCCATTGTGTTTAATATGATAATCAATAGAATTTTGTTTAGAGGAGAATATGATCATTTAGTTTTGTGCATGCTGAATTGAAGATGTTGAAAGAATACTTATGGAAAAGCAGCAGACTTGAAAATCCAGGATGGGTGCTCCTATAAAAAGAAGTCAGAGACTGCATACAATGTTTAGAAAGGTGAAAATCATGGGAGTGGTTAAATTCACCCAGAGAAAGCATGAGGAGGGAAAAGGAGGAGCTAAATCACGTTTTACGTTTGTTTAGAAGCTGATAATTAAATAGTCATAACACGAAGATGAGAAGAAAATCAGAGAGCTCACCAAGCAAAAATGAATATCAAGTTAGATTTAAAAATATAACACTTTTTAAAAAGAGACCTGTTCAACTGCATCCCAATGAGTCAGACCAATGCTTTAGTGAAAAGGCAGTCAATGATCAATTCGGAGGGACAGCCCAACCAGCATGGCTCAGGGGTTGAGCATGGACCTATGAACCAGGAGGTCAGGGTTTGATTTCCAGTCAGGGCACTTACTCAGGTAGCAGGCTCAATTCCCCAATTAGGGATGGGGAGGTGAGGGGCATGTGCAAGGGACAGTTTACCAATGATTACCTCTCATCATTGATGTTTCCCTCTCCCTTCCTCTCTGAAATCAATAAAAATATTTTTTTAATTGGAGGAAACAGTTTCAGTAAAACAAGAGACAAAATCCATGTGTCAAAGAACCAAAAAGGATTAGAGGGAGAAACGGTGGGCTAGAACATAGATGGCGAACTTGAATGCCAGGTAAGCAAAGAACATTCAATGAAACCAGAAACCTAACTTGCAAAGTGTGAAGTGAAATAAAATGATCATGGTTCTAATCTGAAAAATTTAGGGAAACAGAAAGTAAAGAGGCATGGATGGACTCAAAACAGAGAATATAAGAGAGTGGGAAGATGGTAGTGTCATTGTGTTTAATACAGTAATCAATAGAATTTTGTTTAGAGGAGAATATGATCATTTAGTTTTGTGCATGTTGAGTTTAAGATGCTGAGAGAATACTTAAGGAAAAGCAGTCAATGCTAGGAAAAGTTTAGTGTAAATAAAACAGATCATGAACTGTGGCTTCTAAGAAGTGGTGAGTGGGAAGAGACTGTAGATTAAGAGGGAGAGGAGATATCAAATAGAAGACCCCAAAAATGCAAAAGTGGGAAGCTATTAGGGTCCTTGTAATGGAAGTGGTTATAAATGAAGAATAGAGGCCTCATCCTCTAACAGAGTGTCCCTTGAATATATGGTGAGATTTCACAAAGAAGACACATAAATTTTAGGGGGCATCAGATTTCTCAGTCTCTATATGTTGAGTCTTACTGACTCAATACTCCTATTGATGAAAATGTACACATTAAGCAGAAGACAGTGGAGGAACTATACATCATGACTAAGCTAGAGTATGGCTTCTGCAGGAGCAGGGATCCTGAGCATGAAGACTGAGGAAGGAATGCAGAAGAAAATTGGGAGCTAGCGGGTGAGGGTGGGGCACCTGTCCATTGGGGCCACAACCCCTGCCCAGACACGGTGCACCCTAATGGACAATGAAGGCACGGGAGCTATTTTTTTCCTGGGTTGTAAAAATAAAAGATGATTAATTTCACTCTTGGAAAAGATATCATAGTCTGAAAAAATGGGCGGGGCTCTAGAATTCTAGTCTAGAGGTAATCACGAGCAGTAGCCCTCCTTGTCTTATCCTTTGGACCTGAGACTTCACACAGGAAATTTCATCAGATGAGGTAACATAGAGTGACACTTGTTCGAGGGACTTCAGAGGTAATTTCATTCTGTTCAGAACAAGGGCATTTGAAGCACCCTCCCCAGCCCCCTGAAGATAGAGTATCACCAATCATGTCAAAACAAGTCAGCGAAGATCAAATAAAGCAGGAAGGCTAGTGAAAGTACCAGGGAACCCTCAGAAAGTGCTAGCTCTGTGGCAGGCATGACACCACACATTCACACTGTCCCTGGCACCCAACGGGCACCCAGAGCAGTACCTCTGACACATTATCTCTCACTGGGCAACACCCCATCGAGATGGATGGGTCACTGCCTCATCCTGACCTCCCAGCCTGAGCTCAAGTCAACTGGAGACTACGAGCAAATTTTTCTCTTGCACATGATTTTTCAATGTGTCAGGCCCACACCAACTTAGACTCCCCTGTCCTACCTATGAATGAGTTCCACTGAACAAGCATCCATTGAAACTGCCCAATGTCAACAGCCATGAGCTTCTCACCTCGGTGTCAGCATCTTTGCCTCCTGAAGGAAAGGTGGGGGGGGGGGGGGGGAATAGCACAAGTGCCTGGATGTGGAAAGGGGCCATTAGAAAAGGAGGAGATGCCACGTCAAGAGGAGAGCAGCTAAAATGGGACTCGTAGGCCCAAGATGATGAGATGAAATTACACGTTTGCCATGAAAAACTAAGTGAAGCACTTTTAAAGAGAACAGGTGATTTTTAGAAGTTTATAATTTTCAGTCTACATAGGATGTTACCTTTTTTCTTAAAATAAAGGGACTATAAACAATCCTTGTGGTAAGATGCCAGGGCAGGGCATTCACCATCTTCATTTACAGAGTGGGCTTTTCTGAGCAGCCTGCCATGCATGACTAACTCCCTGAATGCCTTTACTCTAAGAAGGCTCTGTCCTCGACTATGTAATTCCATCTTCCACTGAGTCACTGGGCTCTGGCCTCTCAGTGACGGAGGTGGGGAGGCACAGAATTATACCAGGGATTTTAGTGCTCGATCTCAGTGCTGTGACCTTTAAAGCCAGATCACTCTTTATTCTGAGAACCGTTCAGTGCATGTA